TTGTTACACTGGACTATAAATTTGTGGAAAGGAGCCTTTGAGGGGTTTGCCATTTTATTGATTTTGCTTGTGAGGTTTATTAGTTTTATGAAATTCAATACTTCCTGTGTGCCTGTGACGTCAATGACACAGAAAACGCTGCTGCACCTCTGGATTCCCCTTGAATTAAGGAGGTGAAAAACACTCTGTGGCTGTCATTGTTTAACACACACACATACACACACACACGCACACACACACACACGCACACACACACACACACACACACACACAATGTAGGATGTATTATATAATTTACAAGAATTAGGAATATGAAAAACAAGTCAAGGCTAGCTGACTAAAACTCAATCATGTGTTTCACACGTTTTGTCATAAAGGATAAATAAAACTTAATCCCCGTAAAGAACCCTTCATAATACATCCAAACAACTGTTATCTGCTTTCTTCATACTTTGAATTTTACAAACATCTACACTAAACACACACAAAAACATTTTATTTAAAGCAGCATCAGATGTGAAGGAAAGAATAAAACGTCCAATCACAACATTGAATTTCTTTTTCTACTTATTTTTTATTTTCTTGTAGCCGTTTAAGGACTTTGCTTCATTTCAAGGTTTTAACATTTGTTTTTGCTTTGAGAATTTCAGATATTGTCCCAAAACAATCAAAATCATCAAGGAAGTACATTTTAGCAGATATTTGTGTCATTCTTAAACCCTTTGGCCATGGCTCTATGACTCCCTTTTACAATTGTACATGAAAAACTCTAATTAGCCTTGAAAACGAGTCCTCTCTATGCATATTTATGTTAGCCTAAGGGTTTTTTAAGAACAGTCCCACTTCACTGTGGAATATTCCAACCACCTTGTGTTATGACCCCTAATAAATAGGTAGGGCAGGTGTAGGGGGAGGGCTCAGGGCTAACACCAGGAAATGGACTCAACAAATGTTTCCAGGACAACATAACATCTTTATTCATTTATTAAACTTTAGAAGCACAAATATGTGATATTTCTGAAGTCATGTCGTGTCCTTGGGAAAGACACCTAACCTACCTTGCCTGCTGGTGGCGGTCGGAGGGACCGGTGACGCCTACGTGTGGCAGGCCCCGCCTCTGTCAGTGCCCCCCAGGGCAGCTGGGGCTGCATCGTACCTCACCATCATCTGCTTGTTGTAATGTCCAGAAATAGTCCGTTTTTCATGTACAGTTTGACCCCTTCAGTATCTGGTCATATGGAGACAGGAGTCTACATTTGTGGCCTTTAATCTGCCGGATCCTACCATTCCATCAGCTGGAGTCCGGGTCTCTCTGCAGCTCGGAACACATGATAACATATTGTCAACAAACTGTTCCCTTCTCAAGGTCCTTCTGTGCCAAGCCTTGCCGGCTTATGTAGGCCAGACTGGACTGTTATAAGAGTGACTGTTTTCAGCTCATATGAGTTAATTATTTGTGAAATAATAATAATAATGTCTTCATTAATCTGTGCTTAAATCAATAAGGTTGATTGATCTGTGCTTGGATTACTGAAAGTTTGAAATGAATTATTACATTGAATGATTTATATATATGAATCAGTAATGTTGGATATGGCAAGGGAATCATCACCTGCACTCAGAGACAAGGTTCATTAAGGTTGGTTTATGCTTGACGCGTCCGCGAGGTCCGCACGGCTCCGCGCGGAAAAGTTGCGTCATTTTAACAACCACGCCCCTCCATCGTGCCTCCGCACGGCCCAAACTTTCCGCAACGCGCACCTTGGAAATTTTCTAACCACGCGGACGGTCGGATGCGGAAAAACATGGCGGACCGGCAAGAACTAGTATGGCTGAGGTTCGTAAATACAGACATTTGTATGATTCAGCTCTCAGAGATCGCCGTGATCAACATGTTGTTAATAATTCTTGGAGAGAAATAGCTCGCACTGTCGGAAAAGACATGGACGCTGGAATGCCGTGTTGTAAACAGTAATTTCTACTTCTACTATGGTGTAGTGTTGGATGCATGCCGTAGAGCTCCATGCTGCCCCGTTCAGTTTGGGAGACTAATGGCTCACCACAGAGACAAGCCGCATGAACCATAAACACTGCAAGGTGTGAAGCGCGTTCCAGCCGCGAGCCGCATCACCAAGCGGAAAGTGAATGTGTCAAGCATAAACCAAGCTTTAGAGAGATGAATTAAAGTTAAGTTAAACTCATGACACAAAAATATTTCCTTACCCCAAATCAGAGCATCCGGTATCTGAAAGAAGGCGTGATGTTCTGAGGTTCTTGGTAATATCCCTTAACATGGCACGTTCCGATTGGACAAGAATTCGTAATATGAGAATATTAAAACAAAGCTCACGAGACGGTGAGTCAGTTCTAGAGAAAGCTACGGAACGACCATCCAGAGTGAAACCTCTTTAGCCCAGAGCATTTTTTGACAAGCTGTCAAAAACCCTGCTAAAAGCTGCCTACCTGTTACGGCTGCCAGCCTGGCCAGTGGGATGCATGAGCCAAGATCACCGGGCCAAGATCACCGAGCCCTGGTGATCAAGCCTGACACCGCCCCTCCTCCTCTCTTCCAGGCTGCTGAGGAGCACAGCTGAGCTGAATCCTGCTGATTACCAACACCTGGACAAAAAGGCTGTGCCTTCAGCAGTCTGGGAGGCAGCAGTGCAGGGGTTCTGCTGTCCTCCAGATCTCAGAGTTTGTTTTAAACCCCTTCGTTTTTGAAGAGTTTTAACTTTCAGAGTTTTAACTCTGAGTTGATGAGCTTTAAAGAGTAAAAGCTCTGAGTGATCCAGAGGGATCGTTTTAAATGTTAACTTGGTGATGCAATTTAATTGACTTTGGTTTTAAAACACCTTCTGTTTGGTAAAACTTAACATACGTTTTAACCAGGTGTTTTATGTCAACAGATTGTTTTAGAACTTTTATCAACTCTGTAGATTTTGAAACACCTTCAGTTTTGGTGAAACTTTTAATAAGTTTTAACCAGGTGTTTTTAATGTTGGTAACTGCTCTTTTAATGTTAACTTTTTTGAAAGTTTTTTTCTTAGTTTTGCATTATCTTAATAATGCTTGCCATCTGTTTGCTCTTGTTTTTAGAACCTTTTACATCAATTAAAACCATTTTAACTCCACTGTCGTATTTCTTATGTTACCCCCTCCTTCACATTTTAACATCTCCTGTCGGGGACGTAACACTACCACTGGCACAGCAACAGTTCCTGCAGAACAAAGCTGACGCAGCAAGATTCCTTAAGAATCCATTCGAGATGCAAACTAGTTCCAACCTGTCATGACCTGGAGACGACTCTAGACTGACCTTGTAGTACTGCGGTTTTTCCTACAAATGTCGGTACCTTGGGGTCATTGCCAGCCACCTAGTTACTCAGAGTTTAAGGGATGGCAAAGCCTTACCATACCAGTTTTATTTCTGAAGCACATTTAACGTTTCACAATTGTCTATTTTTTTTGCTGATTTTAAATATATTTTTCATCATTTTCTAAATTCTTTTTTACATTGTTTTAATTTTTTGTTTTTGTGAAGCGCCTCGTGATTTTTATCTTGAGAGGCGCTATAGAAATTATCTTCTTCTTCTTAAAAACAGCACGGCAGCTGACCAAAGTGCTGTACTTTCTGCAGACGACTGAGGTTGGAAGTATTGACACTGAGTAAATTTGCATAGTCCAACCTTGAGATGGTGAAAGCATGTATTACAGACTCAAAGTGCAGTCACTTCAGTATCGGTTTCAGGTGAGTTAAGCGACGCAGGTGACAGAAACATGATCTAGCCGTGGCATTGATCGGAGTGGCTGGGCCACTGATGGGTCCGAGTCAAGTTTGACCCCCAGGCTGGTAACACATAAGGAGGAGAAAGGTGGAGCAGCAGATAAGTGAGGATTATGACTTGATTTAAAAAATAATTGCTTCAGCTGCCAACAATTAGAGGAACTACTGCCACCTACAGGCTTGACATGCCTATGCCTTTGCTTCACATATATGTTTGCTGAAAATTATTACATTTTTTGTGGTTATTCTTCACACACAGTGTAAATAAAGCTTGTTTTTACCTTTGCTGACGTGTTTCTACGTCCAGAGCAGCCGCCGACGTTAGTGGCGGCACCGGTTATCTGCGGGGGGCAGGGGACGGTATCGCCCTCTACTGCCTGCACGTAGACATCAAAACATGTCAGCAACGGTCAAAACAAGCTTCATTTGCACTGTGTATGATGAAGAACCACAAAAAAATTCATTGGATAAAAAAATAGAACAAATGTAACAAAGATACTGAAAATAAGTTTCCTAGATGATATTCGGTTTTACAAAAACCTTGCTAAGTGTGTATATGTCCTAATAAACTAAGTGATGCTGATAAAGCCAATTGGGGTAAAAATGAGCCTGGGTGTTTTTCACTGTCTAACTTAGAAACAAGCATTAGAGCACTATCACCTCCTGTTTAAAGACATTTCAGTCTAAACCGCAGGAAAAGAAAGAAAAAGCACATTTTGCATCCATTAACTGGTTGAGCCTATTCTCTTCCTTCATGCTATAGCATCAGGCAGTTTCTGTTTAACATCTCAGATATGCTTCTAACAGTTTCCCTCCATGAGTCCATAGCCTGTGAAGTGTGTAGGCCTTCCCCATGTGTGGTTGCGTTGTTGGCATGGAAACAGTAATGACATTGTGTGTTGTGAATTTTTCACCCCAGTCCCTAGGGCTCATCCATGAGGAGATACTGACATCACCCCTCAAGACCTACTACACAAGAGAGAAGAGAGACAGAATCTTTCCACATCTGAGCAATAGCACGTTCATGAAAACTCAACAAATTCCTTACGAACTGAATCATTTATGACTAGCAAACATGTTAAGTTTTCTTTTTTTTCCATTTTTATTTTTTTAAAGAGTTTTATGACATATTTAATGTTTCTTTAACAAACCGAAAGGCTGTAAGCTTGTTGTCTCCATGTAGTGAAAGCATCAGGAAAAAGAAGTCAAGTACATGTCAGTGTTGTCACATTTAGTTTTATTGTAAAGGTCAAATTATTCAAAAATATTAATACATTAGAGGGACCAATATAAAGAAACACGACAAACATACATTTAGAAAACATCTACACAAGACTTTGGTAAGAACTTCAGCACATTCTTATCAAAAAGTTACACAGGAAACAAAACAATTACATTTTCTAAAAATGTTCCAAATCATACAGATGCATGAGGCGTTTTTAATTCAACAACAATCTAGCGGGGTAAAGAATAAAAATGCAGGGCACTGTGATTCTTTAAAACAACTGAACAAGTGAAGGTGTATAAAATACTGGAATGGCTAGGTACCTGTGCTTTTAATCTGAAATATACTGAAATATTTAAGGGTACCACAAGATATTACAGTTCTTTTTTCCTCATATCAGTTTATCAATCTTAAACATCATTCTCAGAGTATATTTTACCACAACGAGTTTACAGTGATGCTGCAAAAGAATTCTATACGCGTAGTTCCAAAGCACAGCAGATGAGACCAAGCTTCAACCCAATGTTTTCCAGAGAGATCATAGAGTCCATTTCCTCTCAACAGCAACCGACCCGAGCTCTGATTTACTCGTGAATATTCAGAAATGTGTCACTTCAGCCCTAAACAGAGTGCACTGGATCGTTGTGCGACAGTGTGCCTTGTTTCTGCTCCCAGTCTCACTGTCATCCTGCCGCTCCCTTCACCCCGTCCTCTACCCCCTGCTTCCTAGCAGGGGTGGACGTTACACGCTCTGATCTCCTTCCTGTCCTTGCAGCTGGACAGCTGCACAGTCTTAAACTTCTGCTTGATTGACATGAGTCGTTCTTGAATTCCTCCACCGCAGAGCTTGGTGCATTCTGTCCAGCTCGACCATGGTCTCATTCTGCAGCCTGAAGACAACCAAAAAAAGAAAAAAAAGTGACAATGAAAACAATTACTTTTTAAAGCATCTTGTCTATTTTCATGCTTCTTAGTTGGCAGAGCAAATACTAGCCTGGATGCTCGGTGGCACCCTCGGCTCTGCCCTGCTTGCCTCTTTGTTTTTCACGCTGCTCCTTGCGTCGCCTCTTCTCCTCGCTGTTGCCTTGTCCTCGTGTGCACCTTCTGACCTTACACTTCTTCCTCTGGACCGTTTGAGAACAGGGGTCTCCTCCAAACTGAGGCTCCAGCTTCACAATGCGAGTCCGGATTGTGTGTCCTTTGCCACAGGACTTATTGCACTCAGACCACTCAGTCCACTCAGACAAGGAACAGTCTATGGCTGAGGACGCAGACATGGAGAATATTTGATCAATAAGTAAAAGGAAGAAATCACAATAAAGCCACATAGAAAGTATACAACATCACCCAGTTTAAGTCTCTTTCCAGCAATTCCTTTAAAGTACTTTTACTTTCCTATTACAGTGTGGGCTGTTTGAGAAGTACCTGGGTAGATGTTAAAAAGTATGTTAAAGACCAAGTTCACATGTCTTTTCTACTCATTTGCAATGGTCTCTAATATAAATGAATATCGTGTGAGTTGATCTCTTTGGGGGGAAAAGCTCCGGCACTCCTGTTTCAGGCAGTTGAAGTCAATCAATCAATCAATCAAATTTTATTTCTAAAGCGCTTTTCAAACAAAGTGTTATTCAAAGTGCTTTACAAAATGACCCCAGATTCCCATAACAGGTTAAAAACATTAACAAACATATGCAATCACACGCACACAAACACAGACTCACACACACACACACGAGTAAAAATTATATTAGGCTGAGTCCAGATGAGCCAAGTAAGGTAACGCAAGGAAACGCCATCAGAGGAGCCGTCTGCCCCGGCAGCATCAGGTCTTCCACACTAAGTCAGGGCGCTCAGTGGAGGGGGAGCATAGACCCCCACCTATAGAGCGCCCAGGAAGCTACAGTCGACCACCGCTCCCGGGGCAGAGGGCCCCCACAGAGGAGACACTGGATTAAAATGAGTAAAAATGTAATAAAAGAGCTAATATAAATGACAACAATTAGAAAATAAGTAAGTTACCAAGAGGGAGCTGAGGATGGCAGGATTTGGAGTCTCATTTCCTGATATTCGGACATCTTGCTCCTGATTGGCTAACAGCAAAGTGACTTTACCACTGACTCTGTTTGCTCTGCAACAGTTAAGTTTTATCCCCACAAATAGCACAAGCTTGAAGGAGATCTGTCATGTTGTGCAGTTGCTAATGCTAATGGTTAGCTTCTTCTAGCCGAGACGCGCTCTACTCTCTCCTGGATGCAAAATTGACAAAAGCCTGTCTCGTCGATGCAAATGGATTCAGATGGGTGAGTTGATGAATGCTAACTGGACAATTTGACAAGCTAATGTTAGGCTTTCCAAATCCCAGAATGTATTTTCAATCATTGACTAATGCAAAAGACAGGAGTAGAAGACCATTTTCACGTTTAGCCTGCATGTTAAGCTCTGAGTGAGCAATCATGTTTCAAAAGGTTTCTCAGTGAACTTAGTTTTTAAGATTGAGAAAATATCAGTTTATATAAATAAGAAATATAAGACTTCCAGCTATTAGCATCTAATTTTTCTCTTAATGTGTGTCAAACCCTTCATATAACTAATATTTGCTACCAGGAAGACTGAGCTTTCCCACTAAAAGCCCCCAAATTAAAAAGACTGTTGGTTTGTTACTTACGGCACTCTGGCAGCATGCACTTCTCCACCTGTTCTAACTCTTCCGTGCACTCTCCCAGCTCTGCGGGCGATTTGAGGATGCGCTGCCGTGTTCTCAAGCCCTTCCCACACGTTACACTGCAGTCGCTCCACTCAGACCATGGAGTCAGCAAGCATGGGATCGTATCTATAACAGCAATCACTCGGTAAGCTATGGGATTAGAATATCTGAAGTACTAGAACTGTTGCTACTCACGACATTCGGGCATCATGCACTTCTCCACTTCTAAGACCTCTGCTCCACAAATGGAGCCGTCTGCAGGAGGCATCTTCACCATGCGCTCTCTCCTTTTCATGCCAAGACCACAAGTAGCACTGCACACGTCCCATTCTGCCCACTCTGTAACCAGGCAACTGCTGGGCACTAGAGGCAAGAAGAGACCACACAGTAAGGTAAAAAAAAAACTCTTTGCATTAGAACAGACATCAAGATTAAAAAATGTCTTGTACATAAAATGAAGGTAAAACTCACGGCAGTCCTCATTAACGACACAGTTTTCTGTCTCCTCTGTGGGCAAAGTGCAAACAGAACCATCGTCGGGAAACTGTTTCACGTAGCGTTCACGGGAACGTGTCCCTGTTCCACAGGATGCACTACACGGAGACCACGTAATCCACTCTGACATCATACAGGTGGAGGCATCTTAATGTTATAAGAGCAAAAATAAAGATGTCATTAAAATTAAGTATTTTCATAGTTTTTTTTTTGTGCTGTTTAGTGACTTAAAGTGACAGTGTGTATTTTTCTGGCAATAGAGGGCAGTACATACCTAAAGCATTGAAATTAAGCATTATTTTTGTGTAGAGTAAGACCTTACCAATGGATGGCCATAGGGTCAAAAATCCCTGAGAGTACAACCTCCAGCAAAGTGACAAGCACATCTGAATACCTTCTATCGCAGGTAAATGTGTAAACAGCAATGTTTATGAATGGTTTTGTAACCGCTTGTTACAGTAAATGCATTTTGTCCCCATAGGCTCCTGTAGAAGGAAACATGGCATCTAAAATGGCGTCGCTTAGAGGATTAGAGCCACTTCTGTGTATGTTAGACCAGATTTTGTATGTTACAAAGCTGACAATATTTTTCAACACCTGGGCATCATTTAATTAATTTTTAACATTTTGGACATTTCCAGTGATTAACGATACAAACTACACATTGTCACTTTAAATTTAGAAAATCTTACTAAATTTTTCCAACAGAAAATGTAAATATATTTTGAAACTATGCAACGGGGTTCATACAGGTAAATTCAAGTCTTTTAAGACCATTCATATAAAAACTTGATTCTTATTTAACCTCCCTACCAGCAAGCAAAAACAAAATTCTTGAACCTGTGTTCATTTATTCCTAAAATGAAACGTGGAATGTGAAAATTCGAAGAACATTTCAGCAGGCCACAAGAATGCATGTCCAACAATGTTAAGTTTTTTTTTTTTTTTACATTTTAAAAATAATCCAATATGACTCAGACTTGTAGCAACAACCGGGTAAATGAATGATAAATAATGATGATTGTAGGGCCTGCACGACTTTATTTTTTTTAAAGTCGACAGTCAAGTAATGAAAGTCGAGTCGACTTCGACTAGTCGTTGATGACGTCATACGCCGGAAGCGGCGGCGGGGGGGGGGGGTCGGTCGGTAGGTTCGCTGGAGTTTTTGACAATTAAAATTGCGCCCACATTTTCTAAGTTAACACATCTCTTTAAACAACGGTAGTTTCTGCTTCCTACTTCAGTCCTCTCCCCCCTCCCCCTGCGCAGCAGCCGCAAACTCACTGATGCGCCTGCAGCCTTTCCTGCTGCTCTAAACATTAAAATAAGTATTTCATTTTCTGTTCCTCACTTCTGATGACCTTCAGTGGTGTTTGTTTGTTACAACCAGCAGGTACAAAAACTAACTTGTTTTTATTTGACTATTTTTCTGTCCTGTCTCTGTTTATTATCTTCCTGCATCTCCTCTCAATCCTAAAGAGAAACTGCTACCTGGCTGGGTTCATTTATATTCACCTTATGAGTTACCTTTGAACTGCAGTTCTAAAAGATCTACCGACCGCAAAAACAGCGGAGTGCCGCTGCTCGCCGGCCGACTACAACGGGACCGTTTTTGCTGCGGAGTTCATGCCGGAGCGGAGCGGAGTGGAGATAGTGGAATCTTGGGGGTGCGTCACCGGAGGAACAGGTGATGCGCCTCGCTCCGCAGCAGCGAAATGCATCAGGCACAAATAACAGACAGAAAACATGAAAGGAAATGAGCCGACATGAACGATCGCGTGTTTAATTTGTTTTTGAGGTGGTGACACCTGATTTGGCGGTGCTCAGGACGCAATGTCTGGAGCGCACGTCAATGATCAGAGCTTTGCATGCACAAACTGGTTAAGATTAGGATGGGGGTGAGGGGAAGGTTAAATTGCAAGAGGGAAAAGGTCACAGTTTGGTTAAATGTCCGTTTTACCGCCGGTGTCAGTACCGCACAGCGCGTCGCCTCCGCCTCGATCCAGACAGGCAGGGGCTCATCACCTGCTGTCTTTTCCGAGGACTGCATCTTGTCAGTCATTATCACGTGACAGCGACTAGTTGATAACAGGCATAAAAAGTCACTACAGAGCCGTGAAGTCGACTAGTCGACTAGTCGACTCTTTCGTACAACCCCTAGATGATTGTATAGCGCCTTTCAGAGTCAGAGGACTCCAAAGTGCTTTACACTAGTTTATGCTGTGGGTAGTATCTGTGGCTCGCCTCATACCGCTGCAGCCATAAATCAATAGGGTGGTGGGGATTTTTTATCTGCTTGAAGAGTTCATTCACTTTTATACTGTGTTTCTGCCTTTTACAATGTTTTTGTCTACTGGTTTCTCCATCCTCCTCCATGGCTCCAACATTACCATGCTGTTAGCCAGTTGAATGTGTTTAGGCTGTGGTGTGCACATTTACCAAAGCCTCGAATCGGTAAAAACGATTCAAGGAATGTATTGACTCGAACCCTTTGAGGATTTGTTTCAGCACTAAAATACAGCACAACTTTTAAGACCCTGATATAAAAATTCTAAACTTTTTAAAGGCTTTTAAAGCTAATATTTCCAAAGTCATAAATTCAATGCATTTAAGATGTTTTAAAAATCCGCAGGAACCCTGTACAAATGTGTCCAATAGGATTTTCAGACATTGCAGTGTTGAAAGCACCAAAAACAATAAACAGCTCTGATGTGGGTGAGTTATGGGTGTGTGAAACACAAAGAGGCGACATGATCATCACCCACACATAAAGGAGACAAAGCTGCAAATTTAGGTCATCCATAACATCCCTGACCTCAATTTATCCTGTTTTGTCTAAAACCTAAAATGTATTGGTGACAGTGACAAGTGTAAGCTTTGGACCCTGCATGCAGTTCTGATAAAAACAGCATTATAATACTAAGATGTAATTAATGGTGTAGAGTAAATGATAAAATCATGAGATGGCAATAAATTCACCTCTTTCATAATATTTGTTGTATTTTGAACAACAAAATAACAATAACTTTAACCCTCCCACTGTGAGCACCACCTCACTCCTGACACGTGGAACTCAAGGGATAAACCATCAATCCTGCTCAATGGCCAACTTTCCTCACGGGGTCACCCATTAAGACAGTGGGAGGGTTCAAAAGGTTCAGTGAGTCCACCAGAAAACACTGCTGTTTCTTTCATATTTGTTGCAGAAATATAAAAATGTAAAATTGCACAAAGCAGAACTTTTTCTATAACATGTCTTGCACATGCAGAGACTATAGTTCGGTAAAGTTGCTCCTACGTAAATCATCGCTGATTTTACATGCTTTCAATCCAAACTCATGCAGGATTTTATACTGGTTTGATAAACTACACCAAATTTTAGATTAGTAAACAAATTCTATTCATTTTGATGAATTATGCAGGTTAATAGAGAAAAACATAAATCGGATAATTTATTCAACAGCGACATATTTCATCTATTTATTATTACAGATTTTGGTCCCCCAAAACCAATTTCCTCTCTGTAATCCATATGCTGTTGTGCACACTACACCCACCAGCTGTCTGTCACAGCACAGAAACAAATATATCACTACATGTGGACAGAATAGATATGGGATGAGACAAGGTTGTTCTGCTCCAGAAACCTCGACTATTAGTGGCATAAAGGGCAAACCGCTGCCCGTCAATCCCTCTGATGTTCGCCTCTGATCTGTGACTCTTAATAAATAATAGTAAATTATTTTTTGTATGAATTTCAAAAGAATAATAAATTCATTTTAGTACTTGAACCCTAGCTTCATCCTTTTAGTTTTGGGATTGGAGCTAATATATTTGTTAAATATCAGTTTATTTATTTTCTGCTGGATTTTAACTCAAATTTAATTTCAAATGGGATTAACACAATCTGCAAGTTCTTAAAATTTGAGAGAATTTATTTATGATATGCAATGATTCATGATTCATTTTGACAAACTTTTGATCCAGGCATCCACAAATATTTGAAAGTTACCTGCAGTACTAACATGCTGGCGGTCACCACTTCTGCTTGTTTTACTGGCACCCAGAGGAGGAAGGATGCATTACGTCATCCACATCTTCAACTCTAGATTAGATTATCAGAAGCTTTTCTAAGGGTCAAACAAATTCCGTCTCACTATCGTGACAAATTGAGCTCTCAGATAATGTTGATCAAGGTCTCAGGCCTTCGTTATCTTGTTGCAGGTGTGCTTTGCTTTTTTGTAACAGGAGGGGTCAGTGGATGGGAATGTCAAGACTGCATTAAAACTCCCAAATCCTTTTCCTAACAGTCAGGATTGCAGGGAAACATTTATAAAACAAACTAATAGGTGTGTTTATAACATTTTAGGGCTTTAGAGGTTAAGTGGAACCTTAGAAGACAAAGCAGATTCAGACAGATTGATGCATCTGCAGCAGCATCAAGCCCGAAGCTTTTGCTTGTAAAGAATAATAATAAAAGTACTCAAATACAAAGCTGATTGAACAGAAATATTATTTACTTGTACAAAAAGTTGCATCATCCCCACCCCCCCACCTCTCACGATCCACTGGGCTTAGTAAGCTTTCTGGGGAAATAAAAATGAATATTTATACAAATATTGTTATTTTATTGTATTTTGATGCTCTAATGTCTTCTAATCAATTAAATGTTATTTTCAACAAAGATCATGGGAGGTGGTATCATCATGTGTTCATTCTAGCTATTTGTGTTGCATATGCAGCATTTTTACGCAGGAAAAATAAACAATATGTGTGCCTTTTTCCCCTAACTGAGGTAAAAAAAAAAGTTAATTTCATTGGTAAGACATTTTCCGACTGTTAATAACAAAGCCTGGACTCTCGGTTGCTTCATTGCATTTATCTTATCACATAAAAAAATTTCATTAAACCTTGAAGTTGAAACAAACCATTCAGGGATTTTTTTAATCTTTTTATTAATAAGCTTTTAAAATCCCTTTTCTATTCAGAGGTTGAGGACTAAAATTATTGCTAAGGAAATTAAAAGTTCTTTTTCGTAATAGATGCAGAAACCTCTGAGAACCGGAGTTTGACCTGATAGTTAAAGGCAACAGCAACACCCACCCTCATCGCTGCATCCTGGTCCCATGCAGGGCTCAAAGTCCTGAGTGTGTGGACATGGAACACTCAGGTCCAGCTGGGCCTTCAGCATCCTCTGCCTCATCCTCTTTCCCTTTTCACAAGTAGCCGAGCTGCAGGCGGACCATGGAGACCAGTTGGAGTAGATGCACGTTTCTGGAGTATCATCTGTAAAAAGAAAGGAAATGGAGACGCTGCTATGAGTGATCATCAGACAAATAAAGAGGGAAAACCACGGGTTTCATACCTTCCTCTTTCTCCTCCTGGGCAATGTCCGCTACAATATCATCTACATTGTCTGGCACAATGTTGCACTGCTCACCCTGAGGACACACAGACACACGGTAAGTTGCAGTAAAACAGCATGGAGTGTCGTGTTCTCACAGCTGCCTCTAGATGCCACCAAAGGGCTGCAGACATTTTTATTTGGTTCTGCTTTGAAGGTGGATTTGTAAGACTTTGTGTTTCACTTAAACTCTAAATGGAATAAGATTATCTCATAAAACTTAGATCTGAATAAATGCTACAAAATGACTTGATTTTTTTTTTCCTTTTGGTTGGAGTTGCAGGAAAACTCGTATCATAAACACATTTGAGGTATTTCTCATTTACCGTGCCTAATGTGGCGTGTCCCACAAAAGTATAAAAGATGATTGAAGCTATAATCAATTCTGCTTTAGGCAGTCGGATTCAACAAGAAACCATAGCAATGAGAAAGATGTAGAATAGTTGTAGCTTTGGGTTAATGTATCCACTGGTGAGCGGGGTACAGGATACAATTTAGATTTATTTCAACCTATTTGTTAATACATAAAAATGAGTTTCCAGTGCAGCCTTGCAGCTTTTATCTGAGCATATTGATACCCAATATACAGAAATTATTTAGGAGTGTTTACTTTTGGAACACATGACATTTTCCTAAGTAGATCCCAAGTAGATCTCAAAGATGCACATAATGAGGACATCACCAGTGACTCTGCCTCCTCTGTGATTGCCAGGCTCTTTTATTTTTATGTATTTTTTATTTTATTATTTGTTCAGTTTTAGTGAAGAAAATCCAGCTTTAATGAACTGATATCCAGTAACTGAGCCTGATTCTGCAGAATATTCTACATTTTTACCTTTAGCAAGCTTTCCAATCTAATACCTATCGCTTTTTTGGAACTGGGTTGCAGAGCTTGAAGCAAGGCTTTCTGCCCAGCTATCTGTCCCATGCCAGTTGTGAGATAAAATTTCTCCAGAGAATCTCACCTATGTGAAACCAGTTTGTTGGAGCAAAAAAAGTATTTGGTCAGCCACCAATTGTGCAAGTTCTCCTACTTTAAAAAGATGAGAGAGTCCTGTAATTTTCATTATAGGTGTACCTCAACTATGAGAGACAAAATGAGGAAAAAATAAATAAAACCTCCAGAAAATCACATTGTCCGATTTTAAAGAATATTTTTGTACATCATGATGGAAAATTAGTATTTTGTCTCCTACACACGAGCAATATTTCTGGGACTCACAGACATGTAACTTCTTCTTAAGAGGCTCCTCTGTCCTCCAATTGTTACCTGTTTTATTGGCACTTAATGAAACTCATTATCAGTATTAAAGACACCTGTCCACAACCTCAAAGTCACACCCCAAACTCCACTAGGACCAAGACCAAAGACAACAGGAACAAAATTGTAGACCTGCACTAGGCTGGGAAGACTGAGGCCTAGTGCACATGTAGCCGGGTTTTTTTAAACGAATATCCGCCCCTCCAAAAACTTACATCCACACCACCTCGTTTTAAAAAAAAAACTCTGTCCACACGTACCCGGATAAATATGTTGTTAAGGACATGCCAGACCTGTAGGCGGCAGTACTTCCCCGTTCTTAACCTCGTCTTTCGTCTGTGGTCTTCCGCAAGGAGCAGTAATTCCGCTTGCAAAAACAAACAAGCAAAAATCGCTTGGACATTTGATAAAGCGAGCACAGCTCTGAGGGCATCCATGATGTCGGCTAGTGTAAACACAGGTCGCACACGTGATGTCAGCATTTTTTTGTCGCGGAAAGTGACGTTGCTGACCTTAAAACTCTGGTTTTGTCTGTCCACACGCAAACACCCAAAACGGAGAAAACGCAGATCTTCACTTTGGCCGGAGTTTTTAAAAAGATCCGTTTTCGTGTGAAAAAACTCAGTTTTCGTGTGGATGACAGGCCAAAACGTAGAAAAATATCTACGTTTTGGCAGATCCCCAGCTACGTGTGGACAGGGCCTGAATCTACAATTTGTTAGCAGGTTGGTGTGAAGAAATTATTAGAAAGTGGAAGACATACAAGACCAGTGATAATCTTCCTCGATCAGAAGCTCCATGCAAGATCTCACCCTGTGGGGTCAAAATGATCACAAGAACTGTGAGCAAACATCCCAGAACTACGGGGGTGGGGGGGGGGGGGGGGGGGGGTGTTGAATGAGCTGCAGAGGGCTGGGACCAAAGTTACAACAGCTACCATCAGTAACACACTACGCCATCATGGACTCAAATCCTGCAGAGCCAGATGTGTCCCCCTGCTTAAGCAAGTACAGGTCCTTCTCAAAAAATTAGAATATTGTGATAAAGTTCCTTATTGTCTGTAATGTGCTGAGAAACGTTAGACTTTTATTAGCTTCATTACACACAACTGAAGTAGTTCAAGCCTTTTATTGTTTCTAATATTGATGATTTTGGCATACAGCTCATGAAAACCCAAAATTCCTATCTCAAAAAATTAGCATATTTCATCTGACCAATAAAAGAAAAGTGTTTTTAATACAAAAAAGTCAACCTTCAAATAATTATGTTCAGTTATGCACTCAGTACTTGGTCAGGAATCCTTTTGCATCAATGACTGCTTCAGTGCGGCGTGGCATGGAGGCCATCAGCCTGTGGCACTGCTGAGGTGTTATGGAGGCCCAGATGCTTCGATAGCGGCCTTAAGCTCATCCAGAGTGTTGGGTCTTGCGTCTCTCAACTTTCTCTTCACAATATCCCACAGCTTCTCTATGGGGTTCAGGTCAGGAGAGTTGGCAGGCCAATTGAGCACAGTAATACCATGGTCAGAAAACCATTTACCAGTGGTTTTGGCACTGTGAGCAGGTGCCAGGTCATGCTGAAAAATGAAATCTTCATCTCCATAAAGCTTTTCAGCAGATGGAAGCATGAAATGCTCCAAAATCTCCTGATAGCTAGCTGCATCGACCCTGCCCTTGATAAAACACAGTGGACCAACACTAGCAGCTGACATGGCACCCCAGACCATCACTGACTGTGGTTACTTGACACTGGACTTCAAGCATTTTGGCATTTCCCTCTGCCCAGTCTTCCTCCAGACTCTGGCACCTTGATTTCCAAATGACATGCAAAATTTGCTTTCATCTGAAAAAATATTTTGGACCACTGAACAACAGTCCAATGCTGCTTCTCTGTAGCCCAGGTCAGATGCTTCTGCCGCTGTTTCAGGTTCAAAAGTGGCTTGACCTGGGGAATGCGGCACCTGTAGCCCATTTCCTGCACACGCCTGTGCACGGTGGCTCTGGATGTTTCTACTCCAGACTCAGTCCACTGCTTCCACAGGTCCCCCAAGGTCTGGAATCGGTCCTTCTCCACAATCTTCCTCAGGGACCGGTCACCTCTTCTTGTTGTGCAGTGTTTTCTGCCACACCTTTTCCTTCCCACAGACTTCCCCCTGAGGTGCCTAGATACAGCACTCTGGGAACAGCCTATTCATTCAGAAATTTCTTTCTGTGTCTTACCCTCTTGTCTGAGGGTGTCAGTGATGGCCTTCTGGATGGCATTCAGGTCGGCAGTCTTACCCGTGATGGTGGTTTTGAGTAATGAACCAGGCTGGGAGTTTTTAAAAGCCTCAGGAAGCCTGCAGGTGTTTAGAGTTAATTAGTTGATTCAGATGATTAGGTTAATAGCTCGTTTATTAGAAACAAATCAAGGCTTAAACTACTTCAGTTGTGTGTAATGAATATAATATATATGAAAGTCTAATGTTTATCAGTATATTACAGAAAATAATGAACTTTATCACAATATGCTAATTTTTTTAGAAGGACCTGTACATGTGCAGGCCCATCTGAAGTTTGCAAGAGAGCATTTGGATGATCCAGAAGATAATTGGGAGAATGGCATATGGTCAGATGAAACCAAAATCAAAGAGGAGAAAGAATGCTGAATGGCATCCAAAGATCACCATACCTACTGTAAAGCATGGGAGTGGAAACGTCATGCTTTGGGGCTGTTTTTCTGCAAAGGGACTAGGACTACTGATGTGTGTAAAGGAAATAACGAATGAAGCCTTGTATCATCAGGTTTTGAGTCAACATCTCCTTCCATCAGCAAGGGTATTGAAGATGAAACATAGCTGTGTCTTTCAGTGTGACAATGAACCCAAACACACCGCCCAGGTAACAAAGGACTGGCATCGTAAAAAGCATTTCAAGGTCCAGGAGTGGCCTAGCCAGTCTCCAGATCTCAACCCCATAGAAAATCTTTGAAGGGAGTTGAATGTCTGTGTTGCCCAGCAGCAGCCTCAGAACATCACTGCTCTAGAGGAGAGCTGCATGGAGGAATGGGCCAAAATACCAGCAACAGTGTGTGAAAACTTACAGAAAATGTTTGACCTCTGTCACTGCCAACAAAGTATATATAATAAAGTATTTAGATGGACATTCGTTACTGATTAAATACTTATTTTTCACCATAATTTGCTAGTACATTCTTTACAAATCAATGACGTGGGGGAGCTTTAGCCAACAAAGGTTGACAAACAATGCTCTAGAAGGTACCGGATGCCTAACTCTACTCTGACATCCTTCCAGATTGTAGAGTTTCACACCCTACTTATAAGGGTGAGCACACCTACTCTGTATAAAAGCCCATTTTAACCGCTTGTTTTTGCTCTTTACCCCCAGTTCATGTCCATAAGGTGAAAGCCAGAATATAGATCAATTGGAAGATCCTACAACAGTTTAACTTGCACCAAGACCTCATTTGGCTTCCAAGTTTAAAGCAAACATTTTAACCTTTTAAATCGCTAGTTTTAATAAACTGCAAGACAGTAAAGTACAGAGGACTGTCAAGTACCTTTACAATAGTACAATGTTGTGTGTGGAAACAGGGTTTTAGTTTTCTTTCATGTGTCTTCAAGGTTAGTCAGATAAATTAGGTTCATAATAGTTCAAAGCTAAATTTAATGTTGTCATTTCCAGTGGAAAAGTCAGCATACTGTATCTTTGTGGTATCTTGACCTAACTATTTGAGGCATGTTTTCAAGTCGTCAGAAATCTGGGTCGGCTTTAGAATAAATGTTAATTTTATTTTTAAGAAGACATATCTGAATTTGTACCTTATTTAGTTATTTATAGAATGTCATGTCACAAGCTACCAGTCAGCTGTGTTGGTGCTATATCTGTCTGGTGAGAAGTCAAACAGACCTTTCTGGCGATGCGCTCTACCATGACCCTGGCCACAGGAGTGATGGCGCCTCCTTCAGGATCATAAAAGGGGCTTTGAGGATGATCCAGACTGGTCAAGGGACGGATCTTATCCTGGGGCAAAGTGGGTTTGTTGGGAGACTTTAAGGAAAACAGAAAGAGAGAAAGTAAGACAAAGAGGAAAATCATATGGTCCATGAAGCTTTGTTTGTTTTGGATCTTTCTTTTTTGGCTAAATATATTTGCTCCAGTCTTTCAAAGTGACACATAACAAAAGTCATCCTAAGTACAGTTTTCAAAGTCAGAGCAGCTGCAGAGAAGCAATGCGCATTACAGGGGAGACTCTCTTATTAGTCAACAGTAAAGGTCTGCCAGCATGGGGTTGATGGAAGCAATGCCAGAGGCAGTCTGGAGGCAGACAACTGGACCATTCTTCACCCCTCCAACTGAGACCACTCAGAGAGAGAGGGAGAAATTACAGCATGTTTTATTTCTGTGAAACAGAAAGATGGGGGAAAGGGTAGTGAGTGGCCACTGATTAAAAGATACAGTATAAGTAATGACACAAAGGGTATCTCATTACTCTGTTACAGGCCTGTGCTTTTCATGACTTTGTCCTGAAGAGCCAAAGTCCCAATTCTTTGTAATAACTACTGTCTCCCTGTCCTCTGCTGCACAATGTACTTTTAGAAAGAGTAACTCTAGAAAAAATAAAGTCACATCTGGAGTTAAAGTTGTCATAAAGGGTCACGAAAACATGTTAAGGCTCCCATAACTACGACATAGATTACCTAAAACAAAAGTCTTTAAAAAACAACTTTGTGTTTTTGTTGTAGTTTTGCACTACTAGCTGAACATAAATAAACCTGTGCAATCCCATAATATCTGAGATGAAAACTTGCTCCAGGCAATCTTATTAAATTGCAACCTTTGCAGAAAACCGAAGCCTCCAGCGTAGAATATTATTATTGATGCAAAGAGCAAGAGTCTGAATTAGTGGTGTGAATGTCTTAAAAAATAACCACGTGGTAGGTGTTGGGAGCCTTCAGATAGGAGCTAACGAGCTTACACACACACACACACACACACACACACACACACACACACACACACACACACGCACATGCACACGCACACGCACACACACACACACACCCTTATTACTACTTGAAGAAGTTGTCTTTCAGAAACTTCCCCTCTTGCATCCTGCAGGATCCTGACCTAAAGTGGTGCTTCAAGTCCAGGTTCCTCTGTCTGCTGCATCAAGAGTCACGCTCAGCCATGCTTCCTGTGTCGATGAAAGCCCTAGAAGGGTGTAAACTTCAGGTACTTTTTGACCTGAACATAATAGTTTTGCTTTTAAATTGAGGTTTTTCTGTAATGGGTGTTTAGACTGTATTCATCTTTGCCACTGCGGTCTGGTCTGGACTTCTGGACTCCAGAAAGAATTTGTTCCAAAGCTGATCTTAATTTTTACATCACATGGAAAACCCAGCAGTTCATGTTTGATGACAAAAGAAAGACTTGTCTAATGGACGGCAAATGTTATTTGTTATATAGAAAAGGAAAACGTGATGATGGCAACATCTTTTAATGTTCTAGCTGCTCTTCAGCATTTCTTTTTGTGCAGAAACTAGAAGCAGTGTTCACAGATCTGCTGAACTTGCAAACACATGCCCGTCAGAATAAAAAGACAAAGCAACTGCTTTCTGTCTGAGAATACCTGGACACCTGGTGTGTTTCACAATGTGGAACAGCCTCTTCTGTGCAAAACACACAATTAAACCTGTTTGATTATATAATCAATGTTCATCCATTTTGCTGCATTTTATAATGCTTGAATTCACATGAACAAGTTAAGAGAAAAAGCTGACTATTTGTTTTATTCTGCTCTTACTGGCAGAAACTACATTATCGTGGAAACAGTCAAGCTTGGCACACAATCAGAATTCTTACCAAGTAACACAAGAAAGCAATAGAGATACATTAATCTTATGCTATATTTATTGAAATCTGATTAACTGCTCTACAAACAGTCAAAAATATGAAATATCTGTATTTGTAAAGCTAAGGTCTGTAAAGGTTTGTAAAGAAAGATTGTCATGGTGCGTCAAAGCGAATACGAAGCACCTCATTTTGCGTTTTGTGTGAGTCAAAGCAATCATTCAGTTTTGCTAATAAAAACCTAATGTCTGAATGTTTTTACTGACCTCATATGAGACCCCACCATCAGTACCAGCATCCCAAGGAATTAGGTCCTGGACCACCTTCTGAGCCCAACCACACTCTTTGGTGCACAAGTCCTCAGCAGACAAGCCCACATTCCAGTCTGGACTGGGTCCCATCATGGTCAGGAAGGACATGAGGTGACGTGTTCGGTCAACAGAGAATTCAGCTGAAGGGGCGGCACGCCTGGGGGAGAGGATGAGCATGAGTTCCTTCTCTTGTAAATGTTGGTAAAAGAAGAAAAAAAACATCAGCAGCTGGCCATGTCCCAAAGTAGGTTTGGAATGAGTCCAAAAGCGGTGGCGTACAAATGTTATGTCCCTCATTCATCCTGAGGCAGTTTCTGCACCATGCCAGCTAAAACTAAGGTCAGTTATGTGGCCCTAAAATCAAACATTGTGATGCATTTAATTAAACCCAGTGAACTTGTAAAGACATGCATTTCTCAGTTTATTCCAAACAAGTTGCTCGAACATTAACAGTTAATAGAGACTTTAAAAATACTCGGTTTTACACATTTGCATATCCAACCATAAAATAAGGACTAATGGTGTACCACTCAGAGGCTGACCAATTATTCAATGTCTAATAAAACTGTCTCGTAAAGAACTTCCAATATTTTTTTAGGCTGATTAAAATTTAGTGCTTTCTAACTACTGCAAATAAATATATATATATATATATATATATATATATATATATATATATATATATATATATATATTATTTTTTTTGTATTTCCTCATAGGAAGGAGGCCTGGTAAAAACAGTTATAGATGTTGGATTGAATGTGTGCTCACAAACACAGCTACAGTAGAGGCTCAGAAAATGACTTTTCTTTTACTGGGGAACATTTACTAGCCTGGCAAGCCATCCTATAGATAAATATATAGTCTGTAAATGACCTATAGACAGAGCTCAGTTGTATAGAGGTGGAATCTACATTTGCACACATGTGGACGGCGCTAGGAACAATCAGAGCATCAAACAACGTGACTTGTTCATAGCAACAGAAATCAGTCAAGGAGGAAGTTTGCCATACACCATCCTTTTTCAAAATAAAGGACTTTATTAACATCCCAACCAAGCTCAACTCCCGTACCCAGTCGACCATCGTGACAATTACCTCTACCATCTCATGTCTCAAAGAAAGGCCCAAGTCTAAATTGTCCAAAGTAGATATCAAAGATGATTGAAACAAGTGCTGTTCCAACTTTGCTGTTTTGCTCAATCGCAGCTCTAGTGCTAAACTACCCAATGTCTCCCTACAAACATAAAACTGTGACTTTCCTGGCCCACACCAAGCCAATCACAAGCCTGAGGCTACAGTGGAGCATGATTAGACTGACCTCCAGAGCTAAATCTTGAACGCTGAAGATAAGGTAAACAGATTTTAAATAAATATTTTGTAGGAATTCAGATTGCAAGACCACATCCAGCTTTGCTCTCTCTCTCTCTCTCTCTCTCTCTCTCTCTCTCTCTCTCTCTCTCTCTCTCTCTCTCTCTCTCTCTCTCTCTCTCTCTCTCTCTCTCTCTCTCTCTCTCTCTCTCTCTCTCTCTCTCTGTCTTACACATGCACACACAGACCTCTGGCCATCTGTCTTGACCAATGATTGACAGCTAAACTGATTACAAGAAATTTCCAAGCCAATAAAAGATTAATTAGAAGTGGGCAGCTCCTTGTTTTAACACAGACAATTAGCTAGTGATTGGCTGTCATCATGCCCATATAATTCATTTGGATTCAGCCTGCTCACTCCTGCCCTTGTGAACTCTGCTAATACTTGCCATGGAGGGTGTGAAACAGTCACTTCTTTCTGGGAATGCATTGGTTTATCCCACATCCCTGAACTTTCATTTTGTGGAAGCTTTAACTCTGAGGTCACCTGAGCTTTATGTGGAGCTAAATGCTCGCTAACAAAAAGGAAAACCAATCTAATGGAAAGCACTTTGAATTGCTTTTGTGTATGAAAGGTGCTGTATAAATTAAGATGCCTTGCCTAATCAAGGCTTTTAGCAAATATTGAAGGAAATATTCACTCTGTCAGTTTAATCAAATGCTTCAGAAATTCCTGAATGCAAATATGAGCGGTGTGTGAGACAGGTTATATGCAATGACAGCGTTAGTGTTTCATATTCATGTTTCCTGTTCTCACCTATGTGCTTCCATGGAGAAGAAACACTTGTCTGTGTATGTGCTGAAGTTGTTAGTGAATTATTTATTTATTTATTTATTTTTAGAAACGGTGCAACACCTAAATCACCCAGAAAGAAACAGCGGCTATGAGCTCCAAAAAAGCTGAACTCTGCCTGCTAACCGCTGCACTTCCCATTCTCTCTTTTTAGTTGCTAATCAAATAAAGGCCGTAGAACACCCAAGCAGTCTTTTCATTATTAGGAAGAAGCCTGACAAAAGTACGAGAGAACAAGGAGTCAGAGTCAATGTCATGGAGACAAGAAGGCTGTCAGGAACTATTTTAATCCTTGACAAGGAAAAAGGAGGTGGATTAATGAAGAGACGTCCAGTGATAGAAGTATAAGGAGAAAAACGGTCAGCTTTTGAGACTTTCTTCCGGGTCACATGAACGTAATGTGTTTTGTCCCAAGGGCGGGATGTTGGAATGCTAAAGGGTTTAAGTGTGGTTATCACACTGACTCTTTCTTTCAGTTAAACAGCATGAATAATGCATTTATCAGATTATTCCTTACACCCGTGGTGTCCAATCTCGAGCCTTGCTCCAACCCACCTGTTTCAGTTGGAAAATTACCAATTCAGCGGGCCATCAAGCCCTACAGAAGCCTGTTAATACATCACTGATTAATATTAGGTGTGTTGAAGCAGAGAAACTTGTAAAATATACAGGATGGTGGTTCCATAAGGACCAGCATTGGACACCACTGTTTTACACCAACCAGCAAGCTCCCCTATCTCCCTTTTAGGCAGACATATCAAGAAAGTGTTGTAGTGAAAATGATTTACACGATATGTTTATTAAAAATTAGCAATAAGATATGATATTCCATATAAATATGAAATATCAACCTGATTGATCTTTGAATGTTTAATCAGAAGTTTCTAGGGTCCTTTACTTATGCAGGGACAATAAACACCCTTCGTATTAATTCAGAGTCAAGTGTATAGTTATAAAAATGAATTTATTCCTTTTTCCCTAAACTAATGATTATACATGACAAGATATGAATGAGATGATGGAAGATTACAAATTAATGTGATAAATGGGGTGTCGTAATGGAACTAGATGCTTTTGCAGAACCGTTCTTTGTATCCGAGAGAGTTTATGAAGTCTGGGTTGCAAAAGTAAATTGGCTGGTTATTTAGTAAACTACATTTTTTTTAACAAAAACCATCCAATGTCTGTGTGCAGACTACAATACCCTTTTGCATGTATTGTTCCCGGCAGTCCCGAGAAGTGCGGTCTGAGTGGCTTGGCACCGGATGTTGATACCACAAGACTCAAGATTACTAGATTCCTTTGAGTTTAGCTTCACCGGCCATGGGATACAACCAGGGTCTGCAGATTGGAGGTCTGAGGTGTGAAGTAGCTCTGAAAAGAGCAGTTTTTTCTGTATCACTCGCTGCATTGCAGAGGCTTTTGACCTAAGGTCAAAGGAGATGGTTTCAAAAAGGCTTCTTTCCCGATTTGGCTGAATTGGGAGTCATCTAGAAACGGAATTAATCGGGAATTAATTCTTGTTTTATTAAACCACAATGTTGATAAATTAGGCAAATTTGGCAAATCAGGATTTAACACGTTTGAGGGTTTTATCAAAACATTTTTCAGACGTCACAACTTCCTTCAGATACTCAGAGTGAGAATGTTTTAAAAACACTTATGTGAAGTGAATGTTAACATTAATAAGTGTCGTATTATGATGAGTATGAGTGTAGATATTGATGAACTTGTTAAATAAAACACATATTGATCTGGTGTGGATACGATCTGAAACGGATCATTGCAGGAAGAATATTCATTTTAAAGCTATAATTGATGTAGGCACAGATTATTCAAACATTTGATTTAAACATCTTGTTCATTCAACACATATGATTATTTAAACTTTTAAGCTGTAAAGGGATTTATCATTCAAGATGACTTTTCCTCAGAGTGAAACAGCAGGAGTCTGCATGAGGCCGTGAGTGAGAATGTTGTCTTTTTGCACGAAAACAAGAAAAGAACAGAACTGTCTGGATTTGGAGGCCAGACAGATGGTGGGTTTATGTCTGCAAATGATAGGCTACTTTTGTGGTCAATTCGTAGGTGAAATTTGACCACTTGGTACGTTACAGTGTGTTTATGTCAAATTAAACTGATAAAACATTGATTTGTTTTCTTTATTTCTTTCTTTCGTCTTCCTCATCCAACCACCATAAATCCCTGTGTGTCCTCCTACAGCAATCCCGAAGGACAACAGACATCAGTAACAACAACACAAAAAAAAAAGTTTGGCGCGTTGTGTAAAAGCTGCTACTTTCAGCATATTTTTAGTTCTGACGTGTTGTTACCAGATGGAACTATGTGAGCAATCAAGTCACATCCAGGAACTGGGCGGTACAGCGTGAAAACATGACTTGTGAGATTTGCTCTGCGGGGAAGTCGTACAGTTTGAGCTGAATCTAAAGGCTACAAGTGAAAAAGTCGCATAGTATCTGCTTTAGGGTTAGAGAAATGTGTACAAGAGAGGGCTCAAGGCATCACTATACCATCGTTAACCCAAATTGAATCCTAAAATAATTCAAGACATGCACCTAAAAACAAGGTGTGTTTTTTTTTTCACTTAAAAAATAAATAAATAAGCAAATGAAAAATATTATAACACACACACACACACACACACACACACACACACACACACACACACACACACACACACACACACACACACACACACACACACATTTATTTATTTATTTTATTATTATTATTTTAAATTATTATGACTATGAATTTAAACTGGTTATTTTAAATACATGTTTTTGCTTTACTATAGCTGCAATAGTTTTACTATACTAAATATACTATTTTCTACTTTGCAGAAAACAAAACTTCACACTTCCATTTTTTTATTACTTTTAATTTACAAAAGCACACTTTGTTTTCTCCTCCTAAAACCACAGGTTTTACAGCACAGTGGATACTTTATTGGTAGTAATCTTGATGCACTGAGAATTGTGTTAAAACATCCATAAAAATTCTACATTATTGCAACATTAACAGTAACTTTGGAACATTGCCAGACTTCAGGGCATTCTGCTAAGTTCACACAAAGTTTGCAATCTTCAGATCATTTTATAGACCAACAGAACTTTTCTGTGCAAACAGTGTCATCACGTCTTGTCCTTGTTTGGTTTGTCCCAGGACAAAAACTTGTAGCTGTTGTTAACGGTTTAAAGGTGCAATTAGTAAGATTTCTATTGTGACGTAATCACAAAACACTCTAAGGTCTGAATCAATTTGGAAGGAAGATTATCCTGAAACAGGTTTCATTCTCAGCCAGCTGAGGGGTTGTCAGTTTGTTTCCATTAGAAAAAAACTAAAGCGGGATGTAGTTACTGTTTACAATCTGTGAGTTTGCCGACTCTGCATATTAAAGAGCAGGCATTTGTAACTCAACACCAGCAGGTAAAAAGCTCCAGAGTTTTTTAAAGAACCAATTCCAGTTAACAGAAGCGACCCAGAAGTTATTTCTTGTACTCCTAAGAAGCCACGGCATTTTTTTTTACTCTAATATCAGGTGAAGCAGGCTAGAGGTTAACATTGAGCTAATAATGCAAACAGTGAATTAGAAGAAAATAGTGGGCTCTAAAAATACCTCAAGCTAATTTTCAGTTACAAAGAATTTGATATTAGAGTGAAATGTATGTCTGAAGTGAATGATGACTCAATCATGGCATTTTACTTTCTTAACTCATGTACTGCCCTTGACGACAAAAGTCGCCATTTTAAATCCAACTGTTCGCTGCCATTGACGACTAAAGTCTTCAATTGCATTTTTTAGCAAGGCAGGCATCAGAACGAGCCCCCGCACCGTGAGAAAAAACATCACATCTCTAAAGCTGATTTTCATCTGTGTGTGTCACACGTCATGTGATCAGGAAGCAGAAAATTCATGAATTAGGAGATCGTTTTGGGCCGCTGCTGTGAAAACAGTGATGTGCGAACCGGAAAAGCTTGAGCTGCTCACAATTTGACCACGGATTATGAAAGAACAGATAAGGCTATAGAAACTCGCTGAGTCTTCCTGATGTAAGAAGTGAGTCTACTCATTCTTTTGGTAGTTTTGGCGTTTACATGATCATAGAGCACAATGTTCTGTGACTCTTCAAAAAACAGTAAAAACGCTCAAAAACCCTGGTAGTCGGTGTTTTTTGATCAAGAAATGGCTGGCGGTGAATGAGGTAAATGAGTCATTCCAAACTATAACAGACATCACATTCTGAAATGGCAGAGAGAAACTACTGTAATAAGTGTTGTAAGTGCTCCCTACAGGGGAAAGGAAAGGGGGGAGTTCACAAAAATAAACAATAAAGGATGTACAAGAATCTGCTTTTGGACCTGCTGAAAGACAGAAAAAATGGGAACAAAACCAAAATATCACTGCGCCAACCACATGAAGATATACGTATAACAGTAAAAATTTTTGCTGAAAAGCACACAGTAACAATTTATAGAGCATTTAGTGCCAGCCACAGCCATGGGTTGTATGACTCATTTTTGCTTGTCATCTAGAATATTCTGGAGCTGATTTGTCACTGGCAACAGCCATGAAACTCGCAGAACGGGAGTGAGAAAGTAATAATTTTGCTTATAAAATGGACTGCAGTAACCACATTTGACCACAGGATTTCATTCTTATAATATAAATGTATTCTGTTTAAATATAATTAAACAAATAGAAACAAAATGTAAACATTTAGAATGCACATCTGAAACAATCACACTCACAAGTGCATGCACTTTTATTACCTGCTGGTATAAACATGCATCAGTTATTTTACCAGTAGGTAAAAAAAAAACACTACAATCTTGAGTTGGCTGACTCTGAAAACATTTATTTGATTTTCTTCAAATTCTTGCAGCAAGAACTCTTTAACACCATCTTCACAGGATACAATCACTGTTGGAAATAACTGCTTGCATATAAAGCTCTGAGTGACTGTGTTAGCACTGCTGGATGTCACTGCTTGTGGACAAAACTGGATTTATTCCCTCTGAAGACGAATCGCTCAGCAGCTAAAGAAAAACATTTGCTTTTGCCCTCTTAAATTCCTATACAAGCTGAGTCAAAGAGCTTCTTGGTTATCTTACGAGTATTACATGAAATGGTCTTTATTAGTCTGGTATTGAATGAATGTGCACACTGGAAGCAAATATGAACCGTTTTAGGGCTCTGTTGAGTTTTTGTTGATCAACAAACTCCTTTGAAACCCCAGCCTCAAAAAGCTTTATATTTTAAATATTTTCATTATTAAAAACATATTTTTAATCCAGCAATTTTTTTTACTTTGTCCTTGTTAAGTTTGTTCGGCAAATGCTTTTATTCAAAATGTTGTAGATTAAATGTAGTCACTTAATGCCAAGTCATAGACAAAGGTCTTTAATAATGACTTGAAGCGAGTGAGGGATGGGGCCTGTCTGACAAAGAGGGGGAGTGCATTTCAAAGTGTGGAGGCAGCAAACATAAAGGCCTGCTCCCCCGTGATTTATATTTCATAGTGGGTATGCGGAGTAACAGAAAATCAGCAGACCCCGATGCACGTGCAGGGATATAGGGGGTAATCAGGACCAACAAATAAGATGGGGCAGCACCATTCAAGGCTTTAAAACAAAGGTCAGGACCTTAAACTTTACCCAAAAATCAATGGGGAGCCAATAGAGATGCATCAGGACTGGAGTGATGTGATAACATCTATTGGTATTGGTCAAAAATGCATTTTGAGCCTTCTGCAGCTCATTAAAGGCTGAAGCAGGAATACCAATGAGGACTGATTTAGCATAATCTAAACGTAAACAAATAAAAGCGTGTATGACAGACTCCAAATGCAACCACTTCAAAATCGGTTTTAGACAAGCTTGGTGGTGCAGTTGGAAAAAAACCTTATTTCACCATGTCATTAATCTGGGGGTCCTTCGAAAGACCTGCATCCGATTTGACCCTAAGGCTGTTCACACACTGTTGCAAACAGAAGGAGGTTGAGAAGGATTACGAGGATAAAAGATAATTGCTTCAGTCTTAGACTTGTTTAGCGTCAGAAAGATGGCAGCTAATAAGTCCTTCACCTCTAATAGGCTTTCGGAAAATAGTGAGACAACAGCATTTGGTTTATTCATGGTCAGTCACCAGCGTAAATATGGTCATTTACCAAATTTCAATCTAATGGGAGAATACAAATAGAAAAGAAGAGGGGCCCAAGAAAAGAACCTTGTGGCCCTCCCCAAGGGAGCGAGAGACAGAATCTGTCTGATTGGTCTGTCCTTCGTGCTGGAATCCAACATTGCAATCAAAGTGATAAATGTGTAATTATTCAGTAAACTTCTTTATTTGTTTTATTTGGTATAAACTATAATTATAGCAAACTTACTTTCTACTAATTGAGAGAGACTGAAAGTATTTTTGCACCATCAATAAAGAGCAGCTGGTATAATAAAGACACATTTTGTAGAATGAGGAAATAGTTTCAAAAGTCAGACAAAACATGAACAAAAAGATCAGTGTTGTAAATAAAGGATTGATGATTGATGACAGTTTAATATATTGACAGTGTGGTTCACTTACACATTCAGGGGCTGCCAAGCCGGCCACTGGGCTTTCATTTTGATGACTGTCAGGACATCGTCCCCCTTTGGTAAAAAAAGACAAAAGAAACATTGTTTTAGTTCACTGTTATTACTGAACAAGTGTTCAAACCAGAATCCTAACCCAATGGAAGATTCATTCACTTTCACACTTCATAAACAGATGAAGATGAGCTAAAACATTTATTTAATTAAGACAAATACACCAAGAAATAAATACTGCCAACAAAAAATAGAAAATTGGCACTAATGAGGAAAAACAAGTATTTTATAAAAGTATAACAGGTGCTGAGAAAGGTAGGCTAAAGCCTAGCCCTTTCACAGATCCCACAAACACACGTAATGCTGTAAATCAAAGGTTTTTAGCTTCTAATTGAAATTCTCTTTTATTTTATCATTTGATCCTCGGCATCAAAGCTCTTGGACACAGCTTTAACAAAATGTTGAGACGCTGCTCTACATAAAACCTTTTTTTGTGCCCAATTACATGCACAGAAAATAAATCCCATCTCAGAACATACAAATGAATCATTTTTATTGAAATAAACTGCCTTGAATTCATGTTGGTATCTCAAAGTCTTCATTTTGGTGGCCTTTGATTTGTACTGAAAGACTTTTGGCTCGAGGTTTTTGCACGGAAACATTTTTTGTATATTTGTGTTTTATTAGTTTTGTGGAATTTCTGGTTTTGTCTTGTTTATTTGTCTTCTATCGTTTCAATTTTTGACCAGCCCTGCCACTTCTGACTATCTTAAGATTATCATAACCACTCTAAAGAAAATCTAATCAATTAATCCTACCTTGTGTGGTGTGTTAAGAGCACTCTGGTCTTCTCGATGTATAGATGGGCTATGAAACATGTTAGATTTTCATGGTCTGATTTTCTAGGACAAACAAACATGCTGCCTTTTCATTGTCACATTTGGCCAATCAGAAAGCAAGGTGACGAAAGTGCACAGCACACTTCTCTGCCATATTTGTCTAACTCAACGTCATGTTTTAGGTTGCAAGATTTCTAATGATCTAATGCGGAAGAGTCGGCAACAAGATGGTGCCTGTGCTTGGCTTAGCCGCAGTCACCGGCCACTTTTTCAAACTTTTCTCCACTAACCTCCTCTTTTCCACCTTGCTCCTGTCTGTGATCCTCTTGACTAGTGTCCCTGCTACCATCTCCTATGATCGCCAGACTCTTCTGTCCTTCCGTTCGTTCACGATCGCCCAAGATGCACCGAAGATGTACCATCCTGTTTGTTTACCTGAGTGGAGCACCGGCCCGGAACAAATCGACAGTCCCGAGCTGCCCGCCTCCAGCTATGTTTGTCCGGTCCCGGGAAAACGTCGGAGGAAATGAGGTAAACGAGCAGGATTCCAGGTGAGAATAAGACTTCTCTTAAAGCGTGGTTTATCTGGTAAACATCAGCGCAATCTTCTAGCTTCTTGCCCTTTGTTTGGTGACCTGAGCGCCACTTCCGCATTCCCACCAGGCCGCGTTGGGACGCGGTTCATCCGCCCAAGTTTTTTAAGGTTGGTTTATCCTCATTCCTCAGTGGTTTCTCCCCCTGTTCCCTCCATAAGTGGTTTTTATAAACACCGTGGATCGAACCCTGCTAATTTATGTCCACTAACTCCAGCTGTTTCTGTAGTTTCTGATTCCTCCACCTCACTCAGCATGGCTCTATTAAACACCTACTCTGTTAACAATAAGACCTTCCTGCTCAATGATCTAATTCTCTCTAAAACCCTGGATGTTCTGTTTCTGACTGAAGTTTGGCAGCAAACATCTGATTATTCTGGTCTGATTGAACTCTGCCCGAGTGGTTATTCTTTTCTTAGCCAGCCCTGGGGTTCTGGTCGTGGTGGAGGCCTAGCTGTTGTTTTCAGAGACCGTCTTCCATGTAGCTCTACAACCTCTGGTCACTTTGCTTCCTTTGAACTGCAGCTGATTAAAGTCGGGCGTAAGGACCCGTTCTACTGTGCTCTGGTCTATCGTCCACCTGGTCCAAACAGCTCTTTCCTTCAGGAGTTTAGTGACTTTCTATCCTCCACTGTGAAGCTGTCCAGACTGGTGATTGTTGGTGATTTTAACATCCACGTTGATGATCCCTGTGATCACTTTGCCATGAATTTCTCCAGCCTTATGGACACCTTCGGCTTTACCCAGCATGTTTTTGGCCCCACACACACCAGGGGGCACACTCTAGACCTTGTTTTTACACTGAGTCTAAATGCTGACAGTATTTGTAATGAGGATGTTAATATTTCAGATCACCATTGCATTTTCTTTAACTTGTCAGTTTCTGCGTCCCCACCTCCTGCTCGCCGTATGGTTAGTTCTCGTTTTCTTAATGAGAGCACAGCTAGCAATTTTTCTGCTGCTTTTGATCCACCCTGGTCTTCTGATAATGACCCAGATTCCTTAACTTCTCAGTTTAACGAGCACTGCCTCTCCATTCTGGACAACATCTGTCCTGTCAGAACCAGATCAGTTCCTGCAGTGAACCCTACTCCCTGGTTTAATGACAGCCGTTGCAGCCTGAAGCGCCAATGCAGAAAATTGAGCGTTTGTGGAAGAAAACCCATCTCCATGTCCATCTGCTGCACCTAACGGATCTTCTGTCATCCTTTAACTCTGCAGTCAGAGACGCTAGGGTTTCCTATTTCTCCAACCTGGTGTCCCAGAGCAAAGGGAACCCCAAGGTGCTGTTTAACACCATCAGCAGCATCGTCTCTCCTGCCACTCCTACAGCCTCCATCCACTCTGTTGCAGACTGTGAGAACGTTCTGTCTTTCTTTGTGGACAAAGTCAATAAGGTTAGATCTAGCATCTCTCCTTCAGCCTTATCGCTGCCTCTCCCGACTCCAACCAGGCCCATCATCCTAGATAGCTTTGCTCCTATTTCTTTGCCTGAGTTAACCAAACTAGTTAACTCTATGAAGACCTCTGCATGCCCCCTCGACATCTTACCCTCATCTATGTTTAAAAGTGCTTTTCAGTCCATCGGTCACAGCATGCTTTCTATAATTAATGCTTCTCTGGTCAGGTCCCTGCTTACTTTAAAAATGCTGTAATCCACCCGCTTCTTAAAAAAACGATTCTCGACCCCTCTCTCCATAGCAGCTTCAGACCCATCTCTAAACTTCCGTTCATCTCCAAGATCTCGGAAAAGGTTGTGGCTAAACAACTCACAGCTGCTCTTGATTAACATAAAATCTATGATAGCTTCCAGTCAGGTTTTCTTAGAGCTCATTCTACTGAAACAGCTCTTCTTAGGGTCTCTAATGACCTTCTGACTCACAGTGATGCAGGCAACTGTTCTGTTGGACCTGACAGCAGCCTTTGACACTGTTGACCATCACCTGCTACTGGAGAGGCTGAGAGACTGGGTAGGCCTATCAGGATCTGCTCTGGAGTGGTTCTCCTCTTATCTCTTTGAGCGCTCCTTTTCTGTGGCCATCTCCAAGTTTAGGTCCTCCACCACCTCTCTTACCCATGGGGTCCCACAAGGTTCTGTGCTGGGGCCTCTGCTGTTCCTCCTCTATCTGCTTCATCTTCAGCACATCCTGAGCTCCTTCAAAGGAATATCCTACCATCTTTATGCAGATGACATCCAACTGTACATCTCCTTTAAGCCCCATGAGATGTCTAAGCTGCAGCTGTTACACACCTGCTTAGACTCTTATCAAAACCTGGATGGCTGGGAGCTTTCTTCAGCTGAATGAAGATAAGACTGAGATCCTCATCTGTGCCCCAGACAAGCTGGTTCCCAAAGTCAGAGACTCTCTTGGTCAGCTTGCATCCCACACCAAACCTTCTGTCAGGAATCTTGGCGTAACCTTTGACCCAGCTCTCACCCTGGATTCTCATGTCAGTTCTCTTGTTCGCTCTTCCTTCTTCCATCTCAGGAACATTGCTAAGCTGAGTCCCATTCTGTCTCGCTCTGAACTTGAGACAGTTATCCACACCTTCATCTCCTCACGCTTAGACTACTGTAACTCTCTTTTCACGTGTCTGAGCAGAACCTCCCTGAACCGTCTACAGGTGGTTCAGGTGCTCGGCTTCTGATCAAGTTCTCCAAATACACCCACATCACCCCGCTTCTCCTCCAGTTTCACTGGCTGCCAGTCAACTTCAGGGTTCATTTCAAGATCCTGGTTCTGGTCTATAGGGCCTTACATGGACAAGCACCATCTTACATTGTTGATCTTCTCAGTCCCTACACCCCCAGCAGGTCCCTGAGGTCCAGTGATCAAAGCCTACTGGTTGTGCAGCACACCAGGCTAAAGACCAAAGGTGACAGATCATTTGCTGCTGTGGCCCCCAGACTCTGGACCTCTCTCCCCCTGAGCCTGAGATCAGTGGACTCAGTGGTCTCCTTCAAAACGCAGCTGAAGACTCACTTGTTCAAGCTGGCTTTTGTATGACCTTCATCATCTCTCTCTTTATTCTGCTCTTCCCACCTATTCCACCTTCCTCAGGATCCACTGATTTCCCTCTTTCCTATTCACTCTCTCTCTTTCTTAACAGTTTTTTCTTTTAAATCCTAATTGCCTATTTTTGCTCATTTTAAATATATTTTTAAACATTTTCTAAATTCTTTTTTTATATTTTAACAATTTTTTTGTTTTTGTGAAGCACCTCGTGATTTTTATCTTGAGAGGCGCTATAGAAATGATATTTTCTTCTTTTCTTTTTCTTCTAATGTGAGCAAGGAATGTCTATGACCAAAGGCAGTTTGTGTGGAGTTTTTGCCGGTAAAAATCCTTCCGGGTGAACCGGGCTTTAGCTGTTTACCTTCAGCACCTCTACAATGAGCAGAACATACATTTTTTCTTTTCTGTTTTTTAGTTGCTTAAAGTCTCTTTCCTGAGTATTTCTCGTATCCGATGGCTGACAAGCATATCACACAAATAGTCTCTTGATCCGTTTTATAAAGATGGCGACTTCACGTTTCTTGTTTATAAATGTGCTCCTGTAGCCGACAAACAGAGCTAAAACACGTTGTTTTACAAGTATTACGCTCATGTCATTTTGTGTTTTCATATAG